GGAATTTTAAACGGCCAGCGAGCCAATTACTAGCTGCCACGTGTGAATAATTTAGCACTGGCCAATAGCGGGGCACAAATTTGCATCCGAATAGTGGGAACTCTTTGCACCGTGCATTTCTGTGCTGCAAAGAAGAAACGCATCCTGCAAAGGAAACTGCAAATTGGCGGGAACTCTCCTGCACGCAGGCTCTTAATTGCAGCAGAACACTCTGCCGTGCAAAGGAGCTCTCATGTGGCCAGGAAATTCCATAGTGCCGAGGCACAAAAATTGCAGCAGAACACTCTGCCGTGCAAAGGAGCTCTCATGTGGCCAGGAAATTCCATAGTGCTGAGGCACAAAAAATCACTGGGTTGTGACACTATTATGTACTATGTATTCTGTACTTTGTATTAATGTCAGGACTCCTGGTAGAGATGATATCTTTTATTAGACCAACACTAATCTTTGTATTACGTATCTGTACTATTCTATACTATGTACTATTTACAGGCAACCCCTGCTTAGTGCTCTTAATTGGCTCCTGAAAATCCGAGCAATAAGCGAAACGAATGCTAAGCGAAACCGAAAGTATTTGACGACCCAAGATGGCGACTGCATTTGTTTTTATGACCCAAGATGGCGACCACGAGTGTTATTGCAAAACTCGATGAGTGCTAAGTGAAACCAGGTATCAATTTAAAATGAGTGTTATAGTAAAAGAGTGCTAAGCGAAACAGCATTCAGCGGGGGTTGCCTGTATTTTGTACTATGTGTTACATATTTGTACTATGTACTCTATACCATTATGTACTATGTATTATGTATTCTGTACTGTTACATACTATGTATTATGTATAATGTACTGTGTATTCTGTACTATGTATAATGCAACTATGTATTCTGTACTACTATGTACTATGGATTCTGTACTATTCTGTACTATGTATTATGCATAATGTCCTATGTTTTCTGTGTTCTGTACTATAATGCACTAAGTAGAGCCGGACACAGCGCGAAATAGAGGATGAGAATTACAGGGCAGGAATTACAGGGCTGACCAGGAAGCGCAAGTGGGGCACCTGGATGTGCCAGCAGCACTCCTGGAAAAATTCTCTGTACCCCGCACCGTGCCCGCCGCACTCCCCACGCCCGGCTCCGCACTGTC